GGATGGGTGGGTGGGTGGATGGATGGGTGGGTGGATGGATGGGTGGATGGATGGATGGATGGATAGTTGAATGACTAAAACAATTCTCACCAGTTTCTCCTGGAATGCTCATCTTTTGACTTCTTCACACCAAAAATTCTTGTCATCAAAGCGCTAAACAGTAGAGTTGAAGAATTCCGTATCTGTTGAAACAAAAATCCTAACAGCTTTAGTCTGGTTCATTTGAATGCTTTTAAAATCAATCAATTTGCTTACCGCCCAACTGTCAGATAGAAAACCTCTGACCGCTATCATGAGTCCACTGGCAACAAAAGGAAAGACATCTTCACCAAGGCGCGTGTCACGATACAGAGCTCGAAGGATGTTTCTGGCATGGACTTGTGGTATAGTTGAATCTTTTGGTACATTCTTATCAATTGGTTGCTCGGCTATCACAATAAGATCTGCAATAAAAAAAAATGACCTCTAGCTTGGGATTCACGATAGGTTACAAGGCCAATTTGATCATCACATGTCCTGATGTGTGACACATTGTTACATGTATACTGACATACCTGTCATTAAACGTTTGAAACTTGCTTTGCCTGCAGTCATAGGTTCTGTTGTTACAATTGCCTAAGAGAAAAAAATATGTGGCCTAATTTWAAAAAAATATTATTTTTAAATGAAATGGTACAGGGAAATAGAAAGTTCAAATGATGAGAAGAAGAAAATACCAAAATGGAATCATCAATGGAGTGGGACAATTTTATGGCCAATTAGTTAGACATGAACAAAGATCTAGAGCCATCAAGTTAAGGTTGCCAAATTCTTTTACCCATTATTTTTTGTGGTCGAGACAGGTTACTTACCTGGACAAAGAATGGAACCCCGGCACTACGTCTGGTACCACAGAAGATCTCAGATGGTACACTAGCTGTGATGTCTGACATTAGTGAGGACAGCCATTGATGTGGCAACTGACGAAGAGAGGCATCTTCACAGCTAATAGAAAAAAAAAATTTTTTTTAGTGTAGTGTAGTGTATTGTGGTGTGGTGTGGTGTGGTGTGGGTCTGGTGTGGTGTGGTGTAGTGTAGTGTATTGTGGTGTGGTGTGGTGTGGGTCTGGTGTGATGTGGTGTGGTGTGGTGTAGTGAAATGTGGTGTAGAGCGGTAAGATGTGGTGTACTGTAGTGAAGTTTGATGTGGTGTGCTGTGGTGTACTGTGGCATAGTGTATTGCGGTGTGGTGTAATGTAATGTAAAGTGGTGTATTGTGGTGTGGCGTACTGGAGTGTGGTGTAGGGTGGTGTGATGTCGTGTAGTGTAGTGTGGTGTGGTGTGGTGTGGTGTGGTGTGGTGTGGTGTAACGTAGTGTAACCAGTCAGAATTCATGAAAAATGACAATCAGCTAGTGTCACTGCTAGTATCTAACAGACAAAAATCCACTTACATCCACAAGGTGCTACACAGCTTAACAAAACCAGTGTAAGCTAGTTCAAATGCTCCACGATGTTTTGAGGTGAGGAGAACTGTGGTAAAGAAGTCACCAATCTGATGAACCTGATGGGAAAAACAGTGCAATATTATTTTGCATCATGAATATTGCTCTCCCTTTCCTCTCAAAGGACTATAATAACCTTTCGGCTGATCAAGTCAGGGCATGGCTAACTCACAGATTGAATCGGAAGTTAGGAAAATGGGAGAACCTAGAGAAATGCCATAGAATCAAGGGAGAGACCTAACAAATTCCACTCTCATGTAATACCAAGTACACGAATTCAACCTGAGACCCCAGAGGTGAGAGGCAAGCTTACTACCACTACGCCGCCACCCATGATTCTCTAGTTGCACCATATTTACCTGTTTTGGGGTCAATAACCCAGATTCTTCTGCCTTGATCGGAGCATTCTGTACTATGTCACCCAGAATCAAAGCAACTTCTTTCATCGTTCTCCAACAACAGACCAACAACACTTGAGATGAATTGTTAAACACCTCAGAACTTGTTGGGTCATCTTCTGGGACAGATGTCAAATCTGTGTCATCTGATCGCATGGTAAGAACAAGGCCATGAGTGGAAGAGAACAAAATCGATGGATAAAAAGGATAAAAAACTTAGTATTACAACTTCTGGGCCCGGTTGTACGAAGGGTGGATAGCACTATCCGACAAATAGATCCTTATCCAGGGGATAAATTCATTGGAACAGCACCGACTTATCCACTGGATAAGGATTTATTTTTCGGATAGCGCTATCCACCCTTCATGCAACCGGGCCCTGGGCTTCAATCAGCTGAGGTAACCACTTAAAATTCAAGGACTATTCAAGGAGTATACAAGGACCCAAAAATGAATTGTCAAGGAGTATGTTCAGCTAAATATGCCAAGGTTTTGCACGGTGGTTGCACATGGCCGATTTTCAGATTCTCCGATTTTTCTTACTAGATCTATTTCAGAACCATGCAAGTAATGATCAAACCAAAACATCCAAGGAGTTTTCAAGGAGTTTCGCTAACATCATAAAATTAAAGAGCTTTTAAAGTGCCCTTGAAAACGTGAATTAAATTCAAGGAGTTTTCAAGGAGTTTAAAGAGTAGCACGAACCCTGTTATTATCTGCTCCAAAAGGTGGTCAAGCACTGATTATATTACTCACCATCGTATTCTTCATCGATCAAGTGACCTTCTGGAGAACTGCAAGTCACTACTGGTGATACAAGATCTGAGACATGGAAACACTCGTCCAGGAGACTGGATACAAGCTGCTGCCAGGACGTATCACAGGAGAAACGACTAGTAGAAAAAAACAATAGACTACAGTGATGACACTCAAGAAAACAGAGAAAGTGTCTGTAACAAGAAGACTACTTGAATGTTACAGAGTTTTGTCTGCTGATCAAATAAATCGATCTTCATTCAATTTTCTAAAAATCAACTCCTAAATTCCAATTCGATCACGGAATGAGGGCCACAGGTTTGTTAGCCACTGGCTATTAAGTGCTACCCTCGTGAAAAAAGGATGCGTTTTTTTAAGCGCAAATGGAACGCAGGTTAAACCAAAACTCAGCAGTTTAAATACTCTTAAAACTGGGCAAAGATGGAAGGATGGAATCGAGTGCACACTGTTATCGTCCTGCAATAGTGCATGACCATGATGGTCCAACTGCGTTAGAGTAGATCTCGTAGGACTGTAAAACGTCATGTCATAGGGCACCGTCACGGTACAGAGTGACAACATCCTTTGAACCAATCACAGCGAACAAGAGTTTTGTTCATCCAATCACATCTCTTGGTCTCTGCACTGTCATGGTCACAGGTTAATATTAGTCCAATTTCCCTACCTTAACTTGATATGCCCCAGTACCTCACGTAAACAGTAAACCAGGCCGTGCATTGGGGCTTGGTAAGAGGCCTGATGAAGACTTGTCTCGGCAACCAAGCTTTGTTTCCTTAAACTTGAGAGAAGGTAACAGATGACTCGATAGGCTTGAGAATCTATGTTTCCAGAATTTCTTAGACATGTGGGGGATTCTGGGTAGAGCGGCAGCAAGCATCTGTCAATCAAAAGCTTCAAAGTAATACTGGCAGTGGATGCATCTACAGCTCTGGGACTGGACACTAGGTGACTTATTTTCTGTTGTAATAGCTGAAGGACCTCTGGAGTCTGGAATGAAAATGGGTTTGTAAGTCGATGACAGCTGGGGAGGGGAGGGGGGGAGGTAAGATAGACAGGGAAAGGAAGGGGAAAAAATAGAGTGAACAATAAACTAATAGATTATTTTCCTCTTCAAATTGATGAACATGGTGCAGATATGATGTGGTAAGGTGTGATATGGTGTCAGGTTGTGTGGGGTGGGGTGGGGATGGTGTGGCATGGTATCAAATTGTGTGGTGTGGGGTGAGGATGGTGTGATATGGTGTCAGGTTGTGTTGTGTGGGGTGGGGATGTTGTTGTTACTTTGTGTTTTCATGTCCTTTGTGCTTTGTGTTTTGGTTGGCTCCCATACATTTCCACAAACTGTATCTCATAGTAATGAATAAGAAGAAGAAAGAAGCAACAGGAAAAGACTCATACCTGGAAAGGCAATGACTTCGGGGAACCATTTGTAAGTAATTCATAAGCCAAGGTCTTGTTAACTTCGTAGGTATCGTTAAAACATTCTAATAACACTGCGATGTTATCATCAGTCATCACATCATCAAACACAAACAGCTCAGCTGATATCTTTCCCTTAACTAAGAAATATTCACAGTCAACAATGATGATCAAATAAAGCATGTATAAAGCCTCTTACAAAGCACAGCTATGTGCTCCAACTAAAAAAAAATCGTTTACGAAATTACAATGCAGTACATTTTCCAAAAATTTAAGCGTGTTTTGAAATTAAACGATAAACTAATCTTTTTCCAGTTTTCCATTTCCCAATTTCTTGTTTCGCAATATCCATGATTTCGAGACAGCAAATTCTGTTGTGCGGTTCTGCACGTGATATTGAAAACAACCGTGATTTCCTTTTCTATCTGTTTCCCAAAAGATACTACGGTTTTATTATGATTGTAGAGCTGTATTTTTACCTGTCTTATCATTGTTGAATATTGTACTCAAGAGCTTAAGGTAATGGAGTGATGTGACGCGACGAGTGAATGATGCTCCTGGGAACAGTGAAGTGAAGAGGATATCAGAGAACCAGTGAAGAAATTCCTGGCATAAAAAATGAGAATATTAGAACACTAGATCTTAGTAATGCTGTACCTCTTTTCTTTTATATCTCTATTGTTTCAATCAATAACGAATGAATCATTCATTCATTCCTTCATTCATCCATCCATCCATCCATTTATTCATTTATCCATCCATTCATTCATTCATCCATCCATCTATTCATTTATCCATCCATTCATTCATTCATCCATCCATTTTCATTTATTCATCCATCCATTCATTTATTCATCCATCCATTCATTCATCCATCCATTCATTTATTTATTGATTCACCCACTCACTTCATCTTTAATTCCCTCTAGCATTAATTTATTCATCCATTTATTCGTTCATTCATTTTTAAAAATACCTTATAAGATTCCAAGCGTTGGCTTTCCTCTAGCGATTCTCTTGTTTTCTCTAATTTTTTCACTTCTATACGAATACACTCCTTCATCCTAGTCAATAACTACAAAAACAAGAACGAAATAAAAAATATAATATTTACGCAACGGTCTGTCAAGTGTAGATTTCTTTGTAAATTACCTTCTTCAGATGTGTGACGCACTGCTGTCTAAACGACGGTGATTGGTTGTTCATATTTAGCGGCAGAAATACTTTGAGTAACGCAAGATCTATCAGGCTGATGGGTTCAGTGGTACGTGGCGAGTCACACAACAGACCCAAGGCATCTAAACGTGTCTGGAAAAAAAAMCAATTAATTAGAGACCATTCTCATTCCCAGATCCTTCTCAGTTGTCGTTCCTTCCCGTCAGAGGCTCTGGGAAACCCTACAACCGGAAATAATGAATATTGCGACCGCGTCCTCACGGCACATGCTTGAACTCTTTCCAAGAAAAGCCAGGACAAGCATGGACAAGCCAGGACAAGCCTTTGGCTTTGTGAAATCTACAAATGGCAAACAAAAATATCTATTTGTCCTTGATTATCCAATCAAAAAGTAGATCTATTGTTCTTCTTAAAAGCCAATCAAATTGCGAGAATTTGTAGGGTTTCCCAGAGCCTCTGACGGGGAGGAACGACAACCGAGGAGGATCTGGGAACGAGAATGATTAGAGACAAGCGTCCTTGTTCCCAGGTCCTTATCTGGTTGGAAAGCCTCTCATGCATAAAGCCCAGGGACTAAAGCCCTGGAAATGAGGATAAACCGGAAATACGTCATAATTTTACTGATGAAGTCTACCTGGTTCTCAACATGACATAAAGCCTTCTTTAGCCAATCTACTGGAACTACTCCTCCCCAGACGTCCTCGGCCTGTATGTCTGTTTTATTTGTATTGTTGTTGACTTTGATTATTCCCAGTCTTCGGGCTGTCTTCAGGCAGGTCATCAAGATTTCAACATGTTTGTCTATGAAAATGAAAATGTATAACTAAGTAAGCATTGATGAATGAATGGATGAATGAATGAATGGATGGATGAATGGTTGAATGGGTGGGATGGATGGATGGATGGATTGATGGATGGATGGATGGATTGAGGGAGGGAGGGATGGTGATAGGGAAGGATTGATGGATGGATGGATTGAGGGAGGGAGGGATGGTGAGAGGGATGGATGGATGGATGGATGGATGGATGGATGGATGGAGGGATGGTGAGAGGGATGGATGGATGGTAGGAGGGATAGATGAATCAATAGATGAATGAATAATGAGTACCTTGCTTGCAACTTAGACTACCAACTATAAACTGCAGACTTTCTGGATAACACTTAAACAGCTTCGAGAGGCTGTGCTACAAGCAACAGAAAAAATATCATGAAACTGAGTAATAAACAACTGAATATTGAAGTGAAAAATTTCTAATCCAGTTACCTCCATCAGTACTCCCTCCTCTTGACTCCCCTCAGTGCGCAGTATGTTAACAAGCGGTACAACCCAAGTCTGGTTTAAAAGTAATAAATGAGGATTGGCAGGTAATACTACAGCTACTAGCGTACAGCTGTACCTTAGAGAGAAGAGAGCACATACAAAACCAATACATTTTCAGAAGTGTTTTAATGACACAACGTACCTTTAACCACCCGTCCATATCATCTCCTTGAGATATGATTTCTTGTTTATGAGCCTTAGTAATAACATCCAAGAAATCTATGACCTGCAGGAAAAGTATGATACAAGGTTACGAAATAATCTGGTATAAAAAGGTCTTATAAAATGGTTGAAATCAAAAACAAATAAATAAATAAATAAATAAATAAATAAA